CTGTAGCCGCAAAACCCAAGATATCTGTGAAGTTTCAGCGTGTGTGTGTACATGTGTTTGCATGCTTTGAAGGCACGTTCACAAAGTAACCTGCTTTTGGGTGTGTGTGCGGGTGTGTATGTGTCTGTGTGAGTTTGTGACACAGAAAACAGAAAGGGCGGTGTGTGTGTGTGTGTGTGTAATATTATCAAAGTAGTTGCACAAGCAGCTTCAAACTAGATGAAGAATTATCACGTGATCAGATGTACAAGCTGAAAAAAGTCCCACTTTTTGGAAGTCATGCGCTCATGTCGACAACAAAAGACGCCTGTCTGATAGAGTCACAAAGCCTCTTTATTTAACTCAATGTTAGCTGGTAAAGTGACTGATTGAATGAGTTTCACTGCTGAGCCTTTTAATAGTGTGTTTTTGTCTCACAGCTGCCAAACATTCACCCTGACCCAAACCACACTGCAGCCCCATGATCCTCATCTGCCCCATTACATCCTTCAGCTGCTCCCCTCTTGATGCTCTGTGTGTGTGTGTGTGTGTGTGTGTGTGTCCAGAGAAAACAGAGGCTTCGTTGTCATCATATCTCACTGTTTGATGCAGCTGTGTGGGCTGTTTTTACAAAAAGGATGAAATGATAGATAAAGGAAATGAAGAGAGAGAGAAAGAGGGGAGCGGGGGCAATAATGATGATGAAGAGATGGTGGAAGAAGAATGTGCTCATATGTGAAATGGTTCATGTTCCTTTTACTCAGGCTTCTTTGCACTCGATTTGTTAAATCCTTCATAACAAATAATTAACTTTTCAATACCATTGCAAGTGTTTTTACTGCAAGTACTGCTTCCATGGCCAACTAAAACAGAAAAAGACATTAATATGAAGAAAATGACTAATACCACAACATCTAAAAAACACTCCTCTAATTCAAGTGAGTTAAGTTGCCTTGCCAGGGGCACTTAATGAACTGTGGACTTCTAATCCATCTTGGAATCGATCAGTGATTATCAGCATGATGATCACGGGTTCTGTTTCTCCTCCTCGGTTTCTATTTTTAATTGTAGTGTCACGATAGCATTTTGGCTGCACGTCAGCACAAATCAATCAATGCTCACGAGCGGGCTGGTCCGGTGTAAAGAGACCGGGGCCAAGAGTGTAAGGAGAGAAGGATCAATGTGATAATCTCCCTCCCTGGAATCCCCTCACTGCACTGGTCTGAGCGCTCTGATGACACCACGTTTCTCCTCAGCATGTCAAAAGATGAACTGACCCTGAGATGTCCCACTCTGACACGCCTTTGCATCGACGCACCTGAAACCAGGCTTAGCCTCCGGTCTTTGTTACAGTGAAGTGAAAGTGCAGACGCGGGAGGTCTGATAAGGCCGACTCAAGAGAAAACACAACATGAGTTTGTCCAGGGAGTGAAACAGCTATTATGGGATTGGGTTTCCACTCACATTACAATAGGCTTTGATACCTGGATTTTATCTTTTATGTTATCGACTTCCATCAGGAATATAAACACACACACACACACCTGCAGGTCTGCTTACCTTTACCACCCATTTGTGTGATGTTTTTGGTGTGCGTGTGTGTGTGTCTGTAGGGCGGTGGCAGGTCCTGGGAACTACAGCTACTCAAACAACTTCATGTTACTATATAGTTAGTAGTTCATTTTTTTTTACTCAAAATTAAATCCATGTCCAATGTCACTTTTTTCTCCAGTGCCGTGAGAGATTTGTAGCCTGTATTCAATGCAAATTATTATGTCTAAACTCATTTTTGTTCTCATAATTCCAGTGCTGCACTTTAATTGTACTAATACATGCAATTAGTTTGTCAAGATCATTTGGATCAAAGGCAGGCTGAAAATACTGCGTTAAAATGTGATGTCTCACCAATGAATACATCAATATTGATAATCCATAAATAAGACATAATGTGCTTCTACTATCTACTATTATCATATGAATACGTATTTACTTACATTATTTTATCACTGTTTTAGCACAGATTTTGTACTTCTTCCACCACTAGTGTGTGTGACTGACAGGTTTTAAAACATCTTACATTTCCTAAAAGCCCAACCTTGACATGTTTGCGACAACGCGCTCTGGCTCACACACCGTCGTACATGCATACACAGGTGCGCATGGAGTTGCGAGAGCCATTTGTTGAATGACAGGCTGTTTGGAGTTGGGGGGAGGTGGTGAGAGGTAGAAGTGGAGAAGGGAGGCTGAGGTGTGGAGGTGAAGACAAGCTGGACGTTCAGAGACAGACAGTCTTTGTGCCTGAGGCGCAGAATGTGAATGCATGTGTGATAGGCCGCTCCGTAGAGCCGTCTGTGTGTGTGTGTGTGTGTGTCGAGCCTGGTGAGTGAGCTTCAGCGTCCACTGCTCCCAGGTCTCAGCTGTGGTGTAATTGATTAAATTAATTAGTATGAAATATAGAATTAAACTCCCATGAATTGAGTCATGTGTTATCAAGGTTTATGTGCGTCTCCGTGGGCGGATGTGTGATTGGAATGAAATATGAAATTAGTCATGATGGCCAGCACCATATTCACTCGTGTAATTGAATTAATCAATCTGTGTTTGCATAAATGATCCTTCCTCCATGCTTCAGTGGGGTGACAGATCGGTCAGAAATGTAGTTTTAACCTTCAAAACGCTGCTTGCTTACTTTCTGCTGCAATATTTCCAGCGGTGAAAAATGAGATGCATGAAGCATGAAATGTCTTAGAAAAATGTTGTGCCACAACAAGCCACTAGAAAACCCTTAATGCTCCTTACACTCTTTCTGTTTCTGCACGGATTAACTCTATTGTTCTGAAAGATATTTCCTTGTTTGATGTGGATGGTTGTGGAGATGCTCTCTAACACGTTGGTCCAATAGCTGTTTTATTGGGTTTAGATTTGTTGACTGTTGGAGAAATTAATTTGTCAGCTGTATATCCGATTATTTCTTCCGGGCTTGGTTAAAAGCAACTGATGGTGCACACTGCATAAATGCATGCATACACCAAACTCAATACAACATCTGTCCACTCACAACGTTCCTCGTTGGTGAGATCAGAGGCATCTGGCACAAACAGGAAATCAGCATAATCTAATATCAGCGCCTGTATTAGTTACACACATCTTCTCTGGCCACACTCACTGTCACATCCTCATGAGCATAATGGGGACCGTGCGTGTTTATCTTCACTGACACAATCAGTGAATCAGGGAAACGAGCGGCTGTGACCAAAATTATGGGCAGTGAGTTTAGTCAACATACTGTAGTTGAGTCATGTTGGAGAGAAACTATCCGCCCATGAAACATCAGCCACGGAGCAGTTTGCTACGTAGCTGCCATCATTATGGACACACACACACACATACGCACATCACTTTAATTCTCCCATTTGAACATACTGTACACATGCAAACAAGTTAGGCCAGGTTGGCATAGAATTACAGGTCTGCACACACCTTAAACACACTTACTCTCTTGACAGAATACTAACTAGTTGCTGAAAGAACAAACACACCGTAGATGTGTGTACTCTAAATGATTTATTCTAAATCCTTTGAAGCCCTGTGAAAAGGAGGTTTAAATCACAATCAACTGCTTTGCAACAGAAATATACTTTAACCGATTTCAACAGCCTCCAGAAAATGGGTGTGCAGTGATTCATTTACGGGTTACATGAGCAATGGGAACCATAGAAATCGCAACGGTTTTGGCGGTTGTGCGTTCGGTGAATGTCTTGTCATAATCTGCTGGGTGTGTTTACATTGTCTGCTCACTAGTTTGGTTCTTCTGGCTGTACAGATTTACCACTGTTACGGTTCGATGTGCCGGTGTTGTTCTGTCCGACTGGACTGCTCTGAGTCACAAAAGGTGCTTCCTTCACAGTCGTGTTCCTCTTCTCATTCGTGTGCGTTCTTTGCCAACAATGTATACAGAGTTGAAAGAAGGTTGGTCCTTCCAGCAGCAACACAATAATTTGGATTAAAGTTGAAAAGGAGCTTATCGATTGAGTCTTTACTGCTCTCAACATGGTGACGGGCAGCAGGCGGGTATCACCTAACAGCGCAGATGACCGTGGAGGTGCTGACCGGGCTAACAGCGCGTACCTGAAGGGGAACCCAAGGTCGGGTATCACACCTCTGCAGAGCGGCGTTATCGTCCGTAACCGCTATAAGACAGCGACGCAGGGCCGCACTGGTAGTGTGGGGACGCTGACCTGCGCTGTTATGCACCAAAAGCACGTGTGGCCCGTTTATTTCAACAAAATAAAGGAGGACGCGGATGACAACACACACAGAGGGAGAGCATCTTTCGTAGACATCACTCAGCTGTATCTTTACACAGAACAACTGTTGTTGTTGAACATGTTTAATAAAGCTCTGAGAGGCTTTTATACCAAATCAGTGAACAATCAAACATGAGTTTGCCACTTTAGTCTTATCCCACTAAGTAATGACATTTCCCCCCCAAAGTAATTGCAACTCATTTGTGCAGTCGGTAAATAAATAAATATATCACAAAGCAAATTAAAATCACAGCAGTGAGGAAAATTATAGATGCGCACTCTTTTTCTCTCTTTTGTAGCGTAACTATTTGCATTTCCTTTTGTCGTTCAGATGTAGGGACAATTATTTTTTTATTGTTATTATCATTATTTTAAGAATAGCAATAGAATAGCAGGGTAAAAAAACGAGCACACACAGTATAGTGATATCTGAGAGGCTTCGTGTTGATCAGCTTTCACTGGCAGATAAAATAGCTTGGCAGCACTACATTAACCATTATTTCCTTCGGCACACACAGTGATTTAATGGCACCGTACCAACCTTTTACAACTTTTATTTCCAGCCTCTTCATTATTTTGCAGACTTCCCTCCCTCTTTCCCTCTCTCTCTCTCCTTCTCTCTCCCTTTCTCCCCTCCCTCTCTCCCTCTCTCTCCCTCTCTCCGGTGGGCGTGTTTTTCCGCCAGCGGGGTTTGGTTGATTCTCCATTGATTTCCAGGAGGAGGAGAAAGTGAGAGGGGAGGAGTGCGGGAGGAACAGGGAGATGTGATCGAGAGGAGCGCGCGGACTGATCCCGAACGAGCCGAAAGTCACACCGGCGAGCGAGCGCACTCCCGGATCACGTGGGAAGTGGAATTAACACGGGGGGGGGGAGGTCGAAGTAAAAGTGTCCTTGGGAGCGACTTCTACTTTGCACTTTGTGTCCCGTCCTCTCGTTGCCTTTCGACCCCCGCCCGCCCGCCCCGCATTCCGAGCAGCGGCTGTGCGTTAATGCCCCAACGCACCCGAGCGGGAGAGGAAGGAGAGAAAAGTGAGGAAGGAGAAGCAGAAGAAGTAGTAGTAGCAGTAGTACGGAGGCCTGGACGCCCCCCATCCTCGCCCTTTGGCGCTCTGTCCCCTCTCCCCCCCTGGCCCTGCATGGACGGGGATGGGGAGAGCCGGATGCTGTTGCCGCGAGGCTGAGCGCCTCGCCTCTCCGTCTCCGGGGCGCCGCTTCCGGCCGCTGCTGCTGCTGATCATCGCTCTCTGCGGCGGTGCTCGCATAGGTAACTTTGACTCACTTCAACACCGTGCGTGCGTGTGTGTGTCTGTGTGTGTGTGTCCGCGGCAGTTTTTGTCTGTCACTTTTTAGTTGTGAACGACCATAACCGCGGAAAAAAACCATTGACTTGCAGCCGCGCGTAGCACCGCACGGAGCGACCACGGAGCGTCTCTCCGCGGGCTGCGTGTCCGTTTTCAACGCGCGGTCGTGGGCGATCGTCGCCTCGGGCCCCCGTGCTGCCTGACAAAGGCGCTCTCTCCAGCCGTAGTGCTGCAGTCTGAGCACGGATCGAGTTTCTCCTCCTCTCTCCTGGGCCGTCATTCTCCCGTCTGCCCCTAATGGCTCATGGAGGAGGGGGAGAGAGAGGGTTGAATCTCTCCTAATGTCCACAGATACCAGAGTGCAGCTTTACGTCCTGGTGTTAATCAGCCAGTGCAAAGTTACGGTCTGTGCTTTTTATTATTGTGGATTTCAGTTTAGGATCAGTTGCATGATGCACATTAATAAAATGCACAGTGATGAGGGGATTTTAAGTTGTTGTTGTTTTCTGTGAGCAACAATGTATTGATGTGTGGTTGTTTCTCTAACAAAACTTACACGCACAATTTAAGCCACATGCTGTAAAGAAGAAGAAAACACACAAGAAAAGTGTGTTCCCTGAAAGCCTGAAGTAAATAAGATCCCCGGCAGGGTCACTGACACGAACGATTCCTTCTCTGCACCACTGATTCACCACGTTTGTTGCTCTTAAAGTCATCATCACAGATGTGTTTTCCATATGGTGCAAAAAGCAGCACGCTTTCTGTCAAACAGGCTCTTTTTTGGGGGGGGAGGGGGGCCCGTGTGTGCACGGGGTCGGCTGTCTGTGGAGCAGTCACACCTCCAGTAATTAGTTTAACACGGCTCAGGCAGCGGGACAAAAACCGCCTCTGCACGCTGCCTGGTGGGAGCACAGACAATCACATTAAAGGCCCTCCTGGCACCTACTGCTACACGTGCGTCACCTGGAAAGAATTTGTATCATTTAAATCCCTTGTTTTGTTTGCTTTCACTTTTACATTTCAAGGCGTTTACTTAGTTGTAGCTCTGCGCGTCTGTTGGGACGGCGAGGCAGGAATGGCTGAGTCGTTGGCGGTTGTTCGCCTCCCCCTCCTCCCCTCCTCCCGGGTGTCTGGTCGAGGGAGAGAAAGTGAGCTCCTGTAAAGCTTTGTACCTCAAAGCGAGGAGGGCTGTTTGTGAGTGTGCAAGAGCAAACACACAACAAGGTGATCAATAAGCACTTCGCAACCCATTCCCTCTGTTTTCGAGATGATCCCAGCGGATCCTTTCCTGATCCCCGGAGATCACAGAGGCTGACGGATCGGGAGACAAAGAATCGCTAAGCTGAGCCTGAGAGATTCGGCCGGGGGATCTTTTGACCTCTGTCTGGTGGTGGAGAGCGTGTCTCAAGAGACGGAGACCGAGACGGAGGGCTTAGGGCTGGAACGGAATAGAATTAGCGCTCAATATGCCCGAATAGTGCTCGCGTAGGGGAATAAAGATGAGGAAAGAAGAGAGGAGACCCGTGAGAGGGGAGTGGAGAATAGGTGAATATTGTGGTAGCACATAGAAGGAGTGCTGTGGGGCATTGCTGCCTGTTTTATTGTGTCTATATAAGATACTCAGCCCAGGGGATGAAACAAACCAGGCTCTCGTGCCTCCGCTCTGCCCACGAGGAGGTCTTTATTCTCTTCTTATTTTCAAGTCAATTCAGCATTTATCGACGTAATTTGACTTCATTGTTTATTTATCTGCCTGGGTAAGACTTTTCTTTTTTTAAAAGTACAGCTACGCTTGCTTGAAAAAGGATGCTGAGGAGGAGAGCTTTGCAGAAGAGCGACAAATGTAAGCTTTGAAGAGCAAAAATATGAAAATAATGCTTTCCAATTATTGATCTTCTCTGTCCTAATCGGCGGGACTCATTCACAGGAAGGAAAAGGTGCAGGTTCATCCGGTGTGAAACCCCCGCAGATGCTCATGATCAGCAAAAGTTTTAACCTTTTTATACAAGTCGGGAGTTCGAACCTTGAGTTCTTCCGTTCTTCTCTGCTAGTTCGCCCTGCTGGGGAAATGTCTGTCAATGAGAGCTTTTGTCCGGTTTTTAGAGCAGCTCATGATTCGATGCCCCTCCGACAGAGAATGAACCCGCTCTGATTCGATTGGGAGTGGTATTTAGGTACACGCGGGGCAGATAGGAAGGAAAGAAGGAGGCTGTTGGTCCGCCAGTCAAAGACACAATGTGTCCTCAGTGCTCAGACCGTCGGCACAGCGCTGCTCGCCATGGACGGCAGCCTTTGCTTGTGTGCGTCCGCAGGTTGGTGTCAGTGTGACAGGCAGGAGAGAGATTCCAAAGCCCGGTGCGAGTCAGGGGTCCGTACCTGCGCCCCCGAATTCCTCACAACTCGGAGCGCTACTGCCCCCAAATGGTGGCACCCGACTCCGTCGTGCCCCAAAACGGGTCTACAAAGAAGCTGCAAAGTGCGTTTGCTCGTGTGTGTTTATGTGTTGGTGGTTGTCAAGTGATTTTTGTGGTGTGACAATAGTGAAATCCATCGATTTCTGTTAAAAACAACAACCATGCGCTCTCTGCTTTTGCTCGGCCATTAGGAGATCATGCCACCATCTCGAGATCACCGGCTGTGCACGTTAACAGAAGCACAAGCAGCCTTCTCTCTGAGGCAGCTGTTTGTGTGTCTGTGTGTGCGTACATAGCTGCCCATGCGCTGCAGAGCCTCTCTCTGGACTAATCTAATAGGAGCACGCTGTGACTGATGCATTGGCTCTGGTCTCCAATCTCTCTCTCTCTCTGATGATCTGTGATATGAAAAGATGGTTTGACCCTTCTTACATTCAGGAATACAACAATAGGTAAAACGTCGGGGAGCATTTCGGACAAAGACCCCTGTTCCTGATGTGTGTGCAGGGACAGAATAATCAATCCTTTGGATGCACTCCCTCAGTGCTGTAAGCAAGCATTGAAGTCGCAGTAAACCAATAGTAATATCAAATGAAGGTATAATTCTGATCGAGTTTTCTTCTCTGCTAAAAAACAAAAAAACACAAATTCAATACGCTCAAAAATAACAACAAAATGGAACATTATTTTACAATTTCCAGTCATGGTAATGTGTATGTGCACACCTTGTAATGTCTTCCTCTCTCTTTGCACTGTCTGTGTTTTGTCCTCCCAGGCTATATAATAAGTATTATCGCACTTCTTATGGGAAAAAACATCCTTTATCTCCTCTCTGGCTGCTCTTTGGTTTATTACGCCTCAGGTTTATTGCACTCACGGAGCGGCGCAACTGATTCATCGAGACTTTAAACCAGTACACGGCTCTGTGTCCCATTTTATTGGGTTGGATTGCAGCGGGTGTCATCTTGTCTTTGAAGTTCAAAGTAACCTCAGTTGTCACTTGAGTGCGAATGAGTTTTGTATTTCTAGTTAAATCCGGCTCTCATCGTAAACGCCCACACTGTCGGAGGTTTGATGGTCCATTATCGCTATCACAGTTCCTGCGGTGATCTCCCTCTGCTGACAACACCTCCGCCGTCCCTCCTCTCCAGGTCAGTGCCAGGTAGCGGCCCCCCAGTGCCGAATCCAGAAGTGCACGTCCGACTTCGTCTCTCTGACCTCCCACCTGACGCCGGCCGTGGATGGCTTCCACGTGGAGTTCTGCAAGGCTCTGCGTTCGTACTCTGCCTGCACCCAGAGGACCGCCAAGTCCTGCCGGGGGAACCTGGTCTTCCACTCGGCCGTGCTGGGCATCTCGGACCTCATGAGCCAGAGGAACTGCTCCAGAGACGGGCCTACGTCCTCCACGCACCCCGAGGTGCCACACGAGCCCTGCAACTACCACAGTCGCACCCAGCACGCCCACGCGCACGCACACGCCCACGTGCATGCGCACTCACACTCGCACTCCCACGGCCACGGGCACGGGCACTCTCTGCCAGTCTACCTGTTCTGCGGGCTGTTCGGTGACCCGCACCTGAGGACGTTTAAGGACAGCTTCCAGACCTGCAAGGTGGAGGGGGCGTGGCCTCTCATCGATAATGACTATCTATCGGTTCAGGTCACGAATGTTCCCGTGGTAACTGGATCCAGCGCCACAGCAACCAATAAGGTGAGAAGAGAGCAAATGGGTTTCTGGGCTTTAATCAGCTCTTATTAAGGCTGGATGAGTTTCTTAAGTAAGAGCAGCTGGTGTAATCCAGTTAGTCTGTGTGTTTAGAGGGAGACATTTTTCTGTAATGACTTCTAAGTTTTTATTTAATTTTATTAATCCGTGGCTAGAAAACACGCTCGCTCTCTCTTTTCTGTGTCTCCCGCTCACGGTTGCGAGGCGAGCAGCTCGATCTTGTGACTGAAGCAGTGTGGGAAGCATAACTTGGTTAATGTCTACATATAGCTTGACCTCCATAACATGGAATGAGATGTGTGAAAGGAACCACTGTTTACTCGTGTGTGTGTGTTTCATTAGTTGCAGTTAATGCACTCCGCTTAAGGGACGTTGTGTACTCCGTGTCTTTATCCCTTTATGACAATAAGACACACACGCACTGCTAAATGGATGACGAGCCAAACAAGCTGATGATTGTGGCGTTAAAGAAGCCATGTTGATTTCATCATGTTATCATCTGCCCTCTGCAGCTTAGTCGATTAGTTTCAATTATTAAAACCCTTACACACTTAGTCGTGTGTGCGTTGAAGAAACACACAATAAGCCAATAGTTGGTTTGCTACACTGTGTGGGTGAAGGTTTGACCATGTGTCAGAGGTGGGGCAAGTTATTAGTCACAATTATTAGACACACACACACACACACACATATATTAACGGCCCAGGCTTAATGGCCTGCCAGGCCTCATTCCTCACGGCTGTCATTTGAACAAAGCAGCCATTCACCGGAACTATGATGTTGGTGCCAACCGTAATGCTCACACCACACCCTGTGTGCACCACCACGTGTGCGTGTTTGCATAGCCGTGTCAAATTACTACTTGTTAAAAACTAATTTAGTCATTTCTTAAATGTAGTGCGAAGAGAGTCAATAACCTGTGTAATGGGTGAATGTCCATTTCTGCAAGTGTGTGTGTGTGTGTGTGTGTGTGTGTGTGTGTGTGATAAAGACCCTTTACCTTCTTTTTCGATCAATTAAATGTTTTCAAAAAATGTTGATATGTACATACAATAAACTGGTTTTCGTAGTAGTAGATGAGTTGATTAATCAATTAATCTGAGAAAATATTTCCAAACTAACGTCTCTACTATACAATGAGTCGTCCGTACTCGTCTTCTTAAAGAAAGTTTTGTTTGACATCTTTTGAATTTGTTACTGTGAACGATGCTCCATTCATCGCACGCACTTTAAAACCAACTCTGCTGATGCTCCTCTTACAGATCACCGTCATCTTCAAGCCCTACGAGGGTTGTACGGACCAGAGGGTCTACCAGGCCGTCACAGACAGCCTCCCCGCCGCCTTCGACGATGGAACGGTGAGCAGCGGAGACCCCATCCACCTCTCCGCTGGCGCGGAAGGGGCGACGGGGAAGGTGCGGGCTCTGTGGATCTCCGAGCGCAGCCCGGGGCGCCACGTGGAGCTGCACGCCGGCTACATCGGCGTGACCGTCATCGTTCGCCAGCTGGGCCGCTATCTGACCCTGGCGGTGCGGATCCCGGAGGAGCTGGCGCAGGCCTACGACGCCACCCAGGACCTGCAGCTCTGTCTGAACGGCTGCCCCGGAGGAGAGCGCATCGACCGGGCGGGCGACCTCCCCCTGCGGCCCGGCTTCTCCCCCGGGGCCACGCGGGCCTTCAGTGTGGAGAGGGCGAAGGACCGCTGCAGGGAGCAGCTGGACGTGGAGGACATTTACTTCCACTCCTGTGTGTTTGATCTCCTCACCACCGGGGATGCTAACTTCACGGCGGCGGCGTACAGCGCCCAAAAGGACATGGAGAGTCTCCACCCTCACAGGGACCGATGGAGGATCTACCCCCGCGGCGCTGCCACCTCCGCATTGCGCCCGGACTCTCCACCTGTTGGGCGGCTGGCTGTGCTCCTGCTGTGTGCTGTGAGCGTGGCGTTGATGTAGGAGGCCTGTGTTTGTGTGTGTAAAGAGAGATCATTTGGGGAGCTTTGTTGAGCACTGATACTTCGCAGCGCTGCTTCTTCTCGCGGGTGGAGAGGAAAGCGCAGGCTGGACAGCTAGTGGGAACTAGTGTTTTTGGCACAGGAGATACTGGCAATGTTAAGTGCATCTTACCTGGGCAGAATCAGACCTCTGGGGAATAAAAAAAACGAGTTATCATAACTGTCTCAGCTTTTTAGACCATACACACGACAAGGACACAACTGTACCTGTGTTTGGAAATACACCCCAAACTGTAAATAGCTTGTCTTCAGTGTAATGACGTAGTTTTTTTTTTTTGTGCCATTAAATGTGATTTATCTTTAATACCTCAGACAGAGGATGTATGTTTTAACAGAAGCACTTTATATATTTTTTTTAATTATTATTTTTTTAACAAATCCACATCAGTGTTTCTTCTCACTTTTCTTTCCTCTACCAAACTCGCTAATGGCTCAAGTTTTAGAGGCCATCAATAATTTGATTTTTAAACCTTTCAATGTAAGAGTTTGTGGAACACAAGGAGCCATTTTTGTTTAAATCTTCCAGGGGCTGATTGAACTCCGTCTCCGTTTTACGTCAATCAATGTCAAGTGTTCACTTTTGAATGTTTTATGAATATTGTCACAGCAAATGCCATCAGTACCATTTTGTTGCCGTAGGAATTTGTTCTTTTTCTACATCATGATTTTCAGATAGTGAAAGTGTGTAAGAATGTGTGCGTGTCAGTTTCTTTTTCTTTTCTTTACCTGTAGTTACTTGGGTGTGTTTTTTTTTTTTTTTTCTCTGAAAATCACGTCGGAGGGATTTCACTTTTTTGGCAAGAGGCATCGCTCATGTATGTCGTTCTCCTCTTTCTTTGACGTGTTCATTTGAGCCAAAGACCGATAATGTATGGTTTTGTACCTATAAGGGAGATCAAAACTCCCCACCAAACCAGCACCCTCCATCTCCTCACACTATCTGCTCTTTTTGTTTGTGAAGTTGCTACTGTAGACTGTTTTACTCTTTCGACCGGATTCGATGAGCTGCTCCTTACTGGTGTACTTGTAAGATACTGGAGTGAAGACGAAATAGTGCAAATCATTTGAGAACTTAACACGCCATCTGCTGAGATGTGAGCGTTAGCAGTGTGTTGTGGCACTATGGGCCTTTACAACATACATGTAACATAGATATACATTGTGTATAATTATGCCCTGTTTGGTTGACTGTGATCAGCTTCATCTCAGTTTCTGTGTTCTCTTGCATCATGTGGGAGTGTCAGTTTGGTGACGAGTGATTGGTCAATGTTGAAATACTTAACTTATTTATGAACGTAGTTTCCTGTAGAGGAAGTTAAGCTCCATATTCTTGCTGTTGGATAATAATAATAAAAATGTCACCTGTGATTTTACTGCCACCTAGTGGTGCTCTCTTGCTATGTCGGTGTGTTGCTCAAGGCGCTAAAAGAAATGGGGGAAAAAGTGGTGTGTGAGCGTTTTATTTAAAAAACAACCATAAAGTCAAAACAGACCTCACTTCATGTTTGCTAATGCCCCATTTAACAGGAATATAAAAAATGGGTTTCTAACAAACCAAATGCCCCTCAATTTGTCTTGGGAGGGAATTTAGGATGAAAGATGATTACAAGTAAACTGATCCCACAACCACATGTTGAGCACACGTGTGCTAACCCATCTGTCTGAGGTTAGGCTTAGATCAGATACCAGACTCGCGCCTCACAGACAATCGTTTTTTTCAACTGTCACAGTCAACAACACCTGGGATGTCACAGGCTGAGAAGACCGCAGCACATAATACGAAGCCCGGGAGAACTGCTACTCCTTTAATCCTGACAATGGATCTTCTCCCATTTAATCCTTGTGATTGCAATAAAAACCATGAATCATAACTCCCACCATGTGGGAGGACCATGCTCCACTTCTGTCGATGGTGAAAACCTCACTCAAAAACAAGAAAGAGTTTCCCTCTGAGTAACTTTTCTTTTCAAGGTCACCCGGTGCATCAGAAGCCTTCGTCGTCCAAACATCTGAAAAGTCATAACCATCGTTAAGATCAACAACATTCTTACCACATTTCACACACTGTAAGACAACACAATGAAGGTGAGTGGAGACACGCAGACCCATGTGCTTACCACTTAATGACAGCGCAAGTGGTCATCAAAGTGTTGAATACCAAGACCTTCATGAGAAGCAGCCTCATAATCAGGACCACCACGGTGTTTGTCCACACAACAACATCTGGAGATCAAACCACACAAACATCAACAACCTCTTTATCAAACGGGAATTTCCAAATAGTTTGCATACAGTGAAAATGTACCTTCTGTCTCGTCGTGTTCATATTCATAGCACATCTGAATTTCATGATCTGAAAAATGTATTAAATTGGGAAATGATGAATGTTTGTTTTTGAGGAGAGGAATAAGGAACCGAATTCAGGATCAGCTTTCGTTCTACCTGATGAGGTGATTTGACGTCTCCTGGCGACTTTAGGGCGTCGCCTGTGACTCACGGAGCAACTGTAGGATGGCCAGTCCCTTGTTGCCACGGTGATGATAGCCACAGCGCTGTTGCCACGATGCTTCCCGCCTAAAGCAACGCTGTATGGCGAGCTGGACACGTGGCCTTCTGATGGTGACCTCCAGCTGACCTCGAGGTGCCCGCTCCTGAAGTCACCCACCATACAGACTAGCAGGGTCCATCCAAGTCTCTCCCCTGACAGGTGGACAGGTGGGGCCAAAGATGCCAACACATCACCCTCAACCACTCCTAAAAGATGATGGGAGGATATTTGGGTGCAAACTTGGTCTTCAGCTACAACAGCAACAGAATGCGATGCAGGGGTTTCTATATAAAGCATGTTGTTTAAAAATGAAATAAAAAATGTTTGTTAGTTTATAAGGAAAACTTCAAACACGATCATCAAAACTATGTTACTGGTGTTTAATAGTTTCTAAACAAATTATTCATGCATTAACATAATGCCTGAAACAACTAGAAATACAATAATCAATGATTTTGCAACACAATCTTAAAAACAGTCCTTCTGATTGGGATTTGATCGTAATACTCCATTGAGTCCTATACTAATCTCAGCTGCAATGAATGATCGAGGTTGTTTATTTCAACGCTCTTTGAGATCATTTCTGAATATTAAACTGTGTAAATAAAATTGACTTGACTTCCAATTGCCAGTGATAAAACGCATACACGGTGGTCATGCTTTATCAAAAATAAAAAGTCCCCTCAGAAGTTGGTATTTATAATTTTCACCAAACAGTAATGAGTAATTTTCTCAACCACGCTAATATTCCTCATGATAATGTATCCTTAATAGAATGCACCTACCTGTCCATAAATAGATGATGGGAAGGTAAAACAGTCCCCTGTGTGGCTCAGCCATGTCTGCTAGTTATATTACTGGTTCGTCTGCACGCACCTGTGCGTGTGTGAAATGAGGCCATGTCGTTTTACTTTGCCAAGAGCATTGCATTATGGGGGATTGATATGTCACATTGTTGTGACCTTAAATACTAACACCCCCCCTCCCCTTCACACACACACACGCACACATACACAGTCACCCACCCACACACACACACACACCCCTCATATCCCCTCATATCAAGAGCACCTTCAACAGTAGTCAGACGACACTCGCGTCGCGCACAGTTGTGCGCGCTTCCGCGCGCGCACCATCTGACGCAGAGGGAGATTTTTTCTGCAGCTTCAGCCTGTAAAAGAAAGTGAAACCCAACAGCGGGAACATGAGGGAAAGATGACAAAGCCAATATGATCGAGGTAAAGCTGTCGCCCATTCACTTCCGTTAAAACTAGTAAATGCATATTATGTACATTGTAACGTCATGACCTTCCACAGCGACTTTCTGCTACTTAATCTCTGTTGTCATAATGACGCCGCACGACTGCTGGAGCCCGATGTGATCTGTTGTTGCTGCTGCAGCTGTCGTCGCCTCACTGTTATAGCTGTGTCCTCATCTTGTTTTGTCCGCACGGAAAGTCATGTGGCGCGTTTGTCACAGGTTTGAGTTGTGTTGTGACCAGGGGACTAAAACTCACGTACTGCGCCAACGAACTGTCTACTCGACAGAATCCATGTGTTCAAATCAAGGATTTCATTTAGTAGGTAGCAATGGGGCTGCTAATGGTAACATTTTTGATTAGACTGTAGAGAACAGGAAGTACAGTGGTATAAAAATGTCGTTGAGAGATGTGTGTGATGTGTTCCAATCCTCTAATTTCTTTCAGGTTTAAAAGACGTTTCGATTGGTCAGTGTTCTGCTAGTGTGACATCTGGACACGTCATCCCGGCAGCGATTCAACCCTCTCATCAGGAGGTCCATCATTGCTCCTCGCGTTCGGGAGTTGACCAAGTCCGCTCCTCAGGTTAAAGGACATTTCCTCCACGATGGTCTTGGTTAGACTGTTAGTGCCGTCTCTATTTCTCATGTCTCTGGTTGAGTCGCAGCCCACCCAGAGTTCCCATCAGGCGTCCAGCCCTCCTCACCCCGCGGGAGAACAGTCTCCTTTGGGCACTGACAATCTGTCCTTCCCTTGGAGCCGTCTTCGCCTGCCAAGGTACGCTTGCTCCGAGGGAATTTTTCCAGAAAAATTGCCTTTTTCCTTTGGATTCATTGACTGCGAAAGCAAAATCTGTCTTTGTCTCAGGTACATCATTCCACTTCACTACCACCTCCTCCTGCACCCCAACCTCACCAGTCTCCGCTTCACCGGCTCAGTGCAGATTCAGATTGATGTCCAGAACAACACAAACTGGGTTGTATTACACAGCAAGGGCCTGCAGATCTCAAAGGCGACCATAGTGGACCAGAACCTCGCTCCTCCGTCTGATAAGGTGGTTGTGAATGCGGCGCAGCAGTTGTTAACCTTTGTTTGTTATCTGTTACCTACAGTCAACCTAACCCCTCTCCATCTCCTGTGGTTCTAGGTTCTGCCGGTTCTTCATAACCCTTCCCATGAGCAGATTGGCATTTTCTCTTCCAGGGTGCTCAGCAGTGGGCAGAAGTACTTTCTGAATATTGAGTTTGGGGCAGAATTGTCAGAAGGCTTCTATGGCTTCTATAAGAGCACCTACAGAACCAGCACGGGAGAGACCAGGTAAGGTCTTACGAATACAGAGAGGCTCCAACTCCAGTTCGCTCGTCTATTTTGTAAACACATCTTGTGCCTTTTCAGAACTTTGGCTTCAACTCACTTTGAGCCCACCAGTGCTCGGATGGCGTTCCCTTGTTTCGATGAGCCGAGCTTCAAAGCTAACTTCTCAATACGGATCAGGAGGAGTCCAGAGTACATTTCTCTGTCCAACATGCCTGTAGTGAGTGCTGCATAGATTCTTACCATCACACGTGGTCAAAAGTGTGCAAGACACGGCTACAGCGGTTCGTTTGTGTATTTCAGGTCAAGACTTTTGAAGTAAACAGCGGCGTGCTCGAGGACCAGTTTGATGCAAGTGTAAAGATGAGCACTTACCTCGTAGCTTTTGTCGTCTGCGACTTCAAATCTGTCACTGCAAGGACATCTTCTGGGGTGCAGGTGTGGTCTCACTTCTTTCTTGCCAACGATGCTTCCGTCCCAGGGACACTTTCTTTACTCTGTATGTGCTTTTGTGTCTGTAGGTGTCCGTCTATGCCTCCCCTGAAAAGTGGCCACAAACCCGCTATGCCCTGGAGGTTGCTGTCAAAATGCTAGACTTCTACGAGGAATATTTCAACATCCATTATCCTCTACCCAAGCAAGGTGCCCTCTGTTTGGTTTTTGGACTTCTTTGTCAGACCCCCCTCTTCTCTGCCCTCTTCCTTTCAGTCCACTTACCTGTGTTTCCCATCTCTCAGATCTGATTGCCATACCAGATTTCCAATCTGGTGCCATGGAGAACTGGGGCCTGACCACCTACAGGGAGACCAGCCTACTCTTCGATCCTCTCACGTCCACCATTTCCGATGAACTCTGGGTTACCATGGTGATTGGACACGAGCTTGCCCATCAGGTGGGAGTGTGACACTGTCTGCTCTCTTAATGGCACACTGCCGCGCTTTAGATGCTCATAATCGGAATGATCTTGCCTGCAGTGGTTTGGTAACCTGGTGACCATGGAGTGGTGGAACGATATCTGGCTGAATGAAGGATTTGCCAGATACATGGAGTACATCTCAGTGGAGGCCACCTATCCTGACCTCAAAGTGGTATGTGCTTGGTTTAATGGGAGAATCCGCTTAAATGATTAACGGCGGTTGATTAATAGCAAGAGCAGTAGGCCACAACCCTTGTTCTGTGTACGATCTCGCAGGAGGAATATCTGCTGGACACGTGTTTTTCAGCAGTTGGTCACGATTCGTTGAATTCTTCTCGGCCA